TCCATTCAAGTGGAGAACTGGTCAAACCTGACTTTAGCTGCCTGAAAAGCCCTGGTTGGTCTCTGTATTGACAGCTGCTCCTCAGGGAAGGGAGCCTGGTTGGAAACCACTGAGGCTGGTGAGCTGTTGGTTGTTTTGGGGGAGGTGTTTTGGGTTTTTTTCCAGAAAAAATGATAAATTCCCAGTGGGTGGAGAGGGAAAGTGAACTATGAAATTGTGAGTCTCGTGCTCTCTATTGAAACACACCCTGGGGAAGGCATATCCTCCATAAACAGCAGTGTTGGCCACAGACCAGGAAACCCTTCCCTCGCCGCTCCCCTCTGCAGCAGAGCCGAGTGCTGCAGGCAGTGTTCCCATGCACAGGGCTGCTCCTGGACCCTGTTCTTGTACCTCTTCAGCCCTTGAGACACCCCTGGAGAAACCTGCTGAAGTGCAGGATGTCCTCCAGGGCTCTCTCCCCTTTGCTCATCAGTTTGTTGCAGTAACTGGTGTTGGGAAGGATGGGAATTTAACAGAAAAGTTTCACAGAGATGAATGCTTAGCAGAAGGTTCTCTAGAAATGAAAGCAAGCTTTGATATATAAAAAGATGTTTTTAGCACCAGTTGTTGCTGAAACAGCTGAGAGAACAAAGGTTTAGTTAGTTAGAAGGAGGTTTTATAGCTAAAGTCCAACAGGTTAAGTGGTCTTCAAACAAAGCATGTTTGCTACCAAGTGAAAAAGCACAGGCAGACAGAAAGATGTTTTTTACCAAAGCAAAAAGAATTTTCCACTGCAAAACAAGTTTCAAAGTTTAACATGTAATTACTAACTCAGATGATTGGTTAGTCACTAACACAGGATGGTAATTTTAGCAGTTGTGATAGGATATATGGAAATGTAAAGGTATTGTGTATGATGCTGGTTGGTTGTTATGTAAGAAGAGATATAATGCATTGTAACCAGAATTAAATGGGCTTCAGGACACAGGGCTTGTCTATGGCCAGCAGCTGTAGGACTGCCCCAACTGCTGTAACCCAGCCTGTGGAATAAACAGAATTATAAAAGAGAGCTGTCTGAAGATCCCATCTCTCTGTGGGTTCTTACAACTGCTGCTCCAGTAATTGTAGCAGTAACTGGTGTTACTGGTGCTCCAGTAATTGTTTATTGCAGTAACTGGTGTTACTGGTGCTCCAGTAATTGTTTATTGCAGTAACTGGTGTTACTGTGGCACTGGGCTCTTGCTCAGGCTGTGCTGTGAGGCCATGGGGGATGTTGTCAAACCTCACGTGGATCCCTGAGCACGGATGGAGTTTTGTGGTTTGGATCCTGCTCCTGGCCTTGCTCCAAAATGATACAGCAGGAGGCTGTGCCATGGCGCTGGTCCTGTCTTGCTGTGGCTACACCTGTGCACCAGGGCTGTGCAGTGCTCCAACTGCTCTTCATCTCGTGGCTGAGCCCCAGGTTGGGTAAAACCCAGCTCTGGTGTCCTCTTCTCACCCCTGTCACAGCTGCACAGCTCCCTCTGCATCTCAAGAGTGCTCAGAGTGCCCTTTGCCTGCAGCTGGAGAGGAAACTTTACCTTGCCCTGCACAAGGGCAGCAGGTGACAGCCAGAGGCACAAGGGCTGGAGGAAGGGGATGTTTGACCGTGGGTGATGCAGAGCTGGTT